TTGTGTTAGCATTGAGTATTTTTTGGCATCGCGACGAGATGCCATTCTCGTAACCGGCTGCGTTATTCGATTAAATGATTAACCCGCTAGACGTTGCGTAACGAGTGCAGCGACACGCTTCAAGGTCTCTTACATCTCATACGTCTGTCTGTTTGTATAAATTGTGACGAATTGTAACGATAACCATCGTTTATGCCCCGCTATTCGACTAGTCAATCTACTCTGCCTTCAAAATCCTCAAAATCGCAGAGTTCGCGCTCATCAATCTTATCATTCTTCGATTTAGAAGATCAACGACTCACAATTTCGCGACGCAAAATTATCTCCAATTATCTCAAATCGGTTACAACAAAGGCTATACATTTTAGCATTACAACAATTGTGTTCGTTTCCCATAAAATATTTGCCATTATCATATGAGATATTGCTATTTTTGTACAAATAACAATCGTAAAAAGTCTTAGATTGTTTAAGGGGAGACGATCAATCACATTATGCACGGATACTCCTGAAGAAACAGCAACCATCGCTGCTTTCGTTTGGTTTTCGTATGATATTCCGGTATCTCGCGAAGTATAGCTTTCCAAGGGCGGCCGCGATCATCCCCCTTCTCCTCCCCCAATTATTGATCTTTTGAAAGAGGTTTCCGGGTCTCGCTCGCAAACACTCCGGGCAAAACTTGAGTGGGTGAAACGATTGAGACGATGATGCCGTCGACAATGCATGTCGTAATGCTGCGAGTGGCGTTAGACAGCCCGAGGAGGCGAACGGAATTTAATCGGCAACGGATTTTGGGAAAACATTGCGCGAAACATTTGTACGGCTTATCGGCGGACTTCCGCATATATATATATATATATATATCCATTGAATTAATGCAATATTCGCAACATCTCGCAGCAGATACAGCAAATACTGTCGATCCGCCGTGTAAGACATTTCTTAATGCTTTCTCGACAGACTGCTCGAAACAAAAAATCCTTCACCATTTTGCGAGTAACGCGCAAATTTTGGAATTATTAATTACAGAAGCGACCTCTGTACATTTCAATCGCTAATAACTCGAAAGCGTTGTTCGCAAAATAACTTTTATCTTCGATCCTGTTCGTCGGCTACCCTGTATACCGAAATATACCGGGTGACACATTTCCCTCTCATATCGAAGAAGAAAAAATCCAGAGGGCGGAAGCGAAACGATCTTCGAAGATCTCATCCTCGAGAAACATAACGTCACGATATGGAAGCATGATCGATCGACCGATCGATCGGTTGTACGGTGTGAGATAGATCGTGTCGCAGGACGCTGGCGTTCTCTGTGCGTCGCCACTCTTCAAACGAGTGAACCGAGACAAAGTTAGCCGCAATGCCGAAAGTGCAAATGGCGTGCATACCGTCCAAGGAGGTAATGATCGAGATAAAGGCTGACATTCGCGCGGCACGCGAATTTGCTCAACGCGTTTTCCTTTCGACCGGGTTAACAGTGTCTCACGTCCTAGAAAACGGTATGAGATATTGGCTCCTTCAAGTTTGCGAGCTCGCAGTAATCTTGTGGAATCGCACACGTTTCACCTCCGATTCATCGGAAGTAATTATTCAGTTTTCCACGCGAAGAGATAAACTATCATATCGACCGTGCCATATATTTCTCTCTCTCTCTCTAAATAGATCCGAAAGTGATCATCGCACTTTCGCTTTCCCAGATATTCTCGCCCGCGCGCATTTCACTCGATATCGCGATATGCAGGGTCGATAGATTACCAGGGGGGTTCCAGCCGAAAATTAGACCAGGGGTGTGGACGGGGGAG